TTTACATTGCCTTGTCTGCCTGGAAGCCAAGCTAAAGAATAGTAGGCAAGACAAAGCACACCAAGGAAGTCGCAGGCAGGGCAGGTAAGGCAGACACAGACCAGGCAAGCAAAGCAAGGGTAGGCAAGGAAAAACCAGGCAAGGTTCTGAAGGCAAGGCAAGGCCAAGTGACTCGGAGTGCCTTTCCTTGGGAAGCAAAGGACACAGTGCCAGTGTAGTGGTGGAGCAGATGTTGAGACACCATGGGGACGTGTAGTCCAGCAAGACATTTCCGTCCTGGCCCTTTCTGTATAGGAGCAATTGTTGGTTGTATTCAATATTGGGGGGGAACAGTGCCTGCATGTTTTGTATTTTGGAGGAGGGGATGCCATTTCTTTTGTGATGAGCTCATAGTTCCTCTCTTTGGCAAAGAAAGCAATTGTGGATGCGCACTTTGGGTGGTCTTAGTGAATTTAAAGGCTTTTGCCAGTAGGCAGTTCTCTGGACCAGAGCTAATGAACTACCAGTGGGAATACAAAGACCAAGCTGTTGAGCTTTTTGTTCTGGTYCCTTTAGTGTGTGAGCACTCTCTGGTGCCAGATATAACTGGATGCTGTCTTTGTGAGACTGAAGTCTTAGCATGGTACCAAGAGCTGAGAAGGGAGGTGCTGATAGCAGGGTGTGTGCTGGTAGTTCGATGGGTGCAATAGAAGTTGTAGGCAGCAAGAATTTTCCCCTAGACTGCCACCCTTCAGCAGCTCCTGTAACTTTTCTTCTGGAGCGGTTCGGTGGGGCTTCGGTCTGAGAACCAAAGGCAGGCGCTGACCGGCCAGGGACCGGTGGGAAAAACCGTGGCGCCGCGGCGCCGCTCTGTCTCAGCCCCGGACTCTGGAGGAGCCGAACCTGCGGGAGATTGCATACCCAGTCCCCTGCTTTGATACCTATGGTTTAAGCTCAAAATTACAGGATGCTTATGAAGCCTATTGATTGAAAACTTTATATCACGTTTTTTACATATTATCAATATATTATCAACAATAGCTTTTACATATATTGTTAAAACTTTTTATATAGGGGTATTAGCAACATACAGTGTAGCAGCTGGATTAATACCTGGATAAATAGAATAACAAGAAGCATAAATCAAAAAAGTTCTGTAGAAGTAGATAAGTAGATGTTATAGAGAGGATCAGTAGAGAGCACTAATGAACTTGGCAGATTCACAAGACATCTCATGAAAAACGAGATTCACTTTCTTGTTAAAATTTAAAGGGTTTTTAATAAATGACAGTAGGGTACATMAAAGCAAAAGGATACGGTGCTGGGTGCTTGGCGATCTGCCAGAGGAACACCTGCTATTGACAAGAGATATCTTTAAATACATTTCGTATCTCATCAGCCTAATACCTATTCATAGACATTTATGCATATACAAACTTTTCCACAACTGTTTTAACGTGGATCCGCCTTTTTAGAGCATGAGCAGTGTGCTTTTTAGGCCCCTGGGGTCACGTGTGTGTGACCCCTGTTCCATGGTTTCAGCACATGGTCCTTGTTGATAGAGAAGTGTCCATAGCAGGGGCCCCTAATGGGTCATGACACCCCTGTCCTGTCCATTGCAGATATGGTTGTCTGAAGTTTGGGGGGTCCCATCAGCCAGGTTCCTTTTGCTGCAAACAATGGATGTTTTTTTGCCTGGTTTTTCCTTGCCTACCCTTGCTTTGCTTGCCTGGTCTGTGTCTGCCTTACCTGCCCTGCCTGCGACTTCCTTGGTGTGCTTTGTCTTGCCTACTATTCTTTAGCTTGGCTTCCAGGCAGACAAGGCAATGTAAACCRAGTGTAGGCAATTAGAGATAACGCAAGGCAGAGGYAGGCAAGGCCAGAGCAGTGAGGAGGAGGCAAACAGAGTGGTAGGCAAGAGAAGGCCCAGAAGTTACAGACAAGGCTGGACATAGGAAGGTAAGCCCAGTGATGGGTACGCCAGGCAGAAACAGGAAGGACTAAGCAAAGTAAGGCTCTGGAGGAAAGCAATAGACAGGTCAGGAGTGGGCCATGGGCATGCAAGGGGATACAAGGCTAGGGAGGGTTAGCTGGGCAAAGCAAGGAAACTGTTGGGTTGCCAAGGAAAGGCAATAAAGAGATGCATTCAAGGATTGCTTGTACATGAAAGCAGCCAGRACAGACTGCTCCATCTGGTTTTAGGTCATYTCTAATCTACACTTAAAACACTGGGGCTACCTACTTTTCTTTCTGTGTAAAGGAACTGTCATTCTGGTCCCAGAGCTCAAAGACGAAATGTAGATTGCCTCTCTAAAATCCAGCACRTGCAAAGATKGTTGCCAGACAAAATCTTCATGGACAGGTTGGTTTGGCTGRACMTGAGCTCTCCTGGACTGCCTTCTGTGTGTCCTGGAATACTGGGGGTATGTGAAGGAGTTCAGAGTCTTAAGAGGAGCAGGCAGGTAAAAGCAAGTCCAGGAAGTGTGTGGAGAAAAGGGATAGTGCTAGATAGAAAAGGGATATTCCCTGGTGGAGGAGTGGTCAGCAAGGTCATGCCAGGCAAGGGCCAGGTTTAGGGACAAGTCAAAAAAAGGGGAAAACAGAAAGTCTCCAAAAATACCTTTCCAATGTTAGAAAMTTAGACCCTGGGATTCTGATAGAGAGCATTTAAGTGTACAACTATACCAAAACAAGACCAATTGCAAAATGAACAAGTTGTCATTAGGGAGTTAATAGACCCTTACTACTGCCAACAGACTCTAAAGTTATTTTCCCATTAAAATCCTTAGTTGCAAACTTAGATCCGATCTTTTCACTGCTGCGTGAGCCAAAATATATGCAGGTAACCAAGATAGCCAAAAACCACATCTGAAGTTTGAATAACAGTTTTATTCCACCACCACACTGGCAAAACAGTGGACACAGACACTGCTAAGCTTATTCCATCTTAGCAGGGGCAAAAAGTGTGTACAACAGGCCTGTGCACTTCTTTAACATAACATCGGGCCTAGCAAAGGAACACTCCCTCATAAGGCTGTGTTTTTACAATCTCTGASTTTCTCTATCTCTCTTCCCCTACCTGCTTTCCCCCACCTCCCCCCACTGTCGGTCCAAGCAATGGGAAAAATGCCCTTAAGTCTTTAACACCTGCTGTCTTCTTTGAGCGAATTCTATTTCTTTTARCTGACAGCAAATAACCTAAAGCAAACACAAATACGTGAAATTTCTACACTGAATAATTTTAGGTAAAGGTTGCTTTTTGAGGGAAAGAAATTCTAGAAACAACTTTGTCCTCACCAATCAATTTTTAACTTTTTCCTCCAAATACCTGCCCCTAAAAGTGAAATACTTTTGATGTTGAATAGTAAATAAATGGTAATACTAAACACAGTACACAATGTGCAGGTGTATCTGATTGCAATCCTAGAAAGCTTTTTCTATTTTTTTAATGGAATTAGCCTTCCTTTCATTTATATCAGTAAAATGTGCATTAGACATTCAAAGAAGTCACTGTTTTTATGGACTGCTATTTTGTAAACAAACCCAACAGAGGTACAACAGCCATCAAGAGCTGCAGTTCAATATTGTACAATGTGGTAGGAACAAAACTTTCAAAGGTTTCTGAAACAGTAAAACCTACAGCAATGCTGTTTGCTCTCACAAACACCATTTAATAACATCTTCAGTGTAAGCATGTAACAGCATTACATCTCAACACACGGTCAAAAACCTCCAATGCTATAAAGCTCAGGTCTTAAGACATTTTGATAGCAGAAATGAATCACAATGTCTTCACAATGATTTGATCGGAAAGAACCAATCAGATTCTAGAAGAATGGGTGTGGGAGTCTTCAAAAACAACAAGCCATGCAAGTTTATTGCAGAACTGAGCACATCTTGAATTCCTGCCTTTCAGGGGAAAATACACAGGTTTGCTGAACTTCTGAATATGATCTTCCCAACCCAGGGTGGGCTTAAAGCTAATTTTAATSAGCATACAATGCATGATGGGGGGAATACATGTTAAAGGAGGAATATGTAGGGGTCAGTTCTGAACGTCTGTACCTTTCAAGAATATCAGCCAATAGGGAAAGGAAGAGGGCAACATATGGTTGCGAGTTTAGCATAAAAGGAGGCTGCATCCTCCAAAATCTCGAGGGAGACTGCATGGAGTTATGGCCTAGTGGATTATCTCCTTTTATTCAAATAAAGTTGCAGGACTCCTGTGTCTCCTTTATAGACACTAGCTTTTCATAGTACGATTTTCCCCACATGTACTTGGTGTAGTGTACTTTTAAACCTGAAAATAAAAGTGCTGCTGCATAGTCCAGCATCTCACTGGGAATGTTTTAATAAAAGCAAAGTGAATTTATTTTTATAATTTTTTAATGTAACACCATAGGATTCTCTTTTAAATTTAAATATTTTGCCCAGATGGCACCACTGTTTATCACTAGCTACTGTTAAAGCTCTGCTAGGGCTCCCTCTTTCAGGAAGAGCGGGAATCCAARATTTACAGGTCAACCAGAGGCCCCTGCTCCAGAGAACAGGGAGCAAAYGGGATGTACTGTTGTCCCAAAATAGTTTCTTTCACTTGCTGTGCAAGAGGCAARCCCAATCACAGTCGAGTTATTTGATTTCTTTACAGTTCTGTGCAMAGTGGGACGGCTGGCCTGCATAACGACTACCAGAAACTTTTCACTACTTATATTTTCTAGAAAATGTTTACATATTGCACATTTTGAAGCAGTAGCTTCAGCTCTCGCTCTCGTTCCCCTGCTCTACTTCCCGGGCTCTGAGCCTGCAGGGGCCGAAAATGAGTCCCGACCGTGGAGCGGCGGCCTGGCCACGAACTGCAACTCCCAGCAGGCAGCGCGGCGCGCGGCCCCGGAAGCGGAACGAGCCGTTTGTCCCGCAGCAGTTGCTGGCGGGGTGCTGRGGTACGCGCTGGGCTGGCAGGGTGCTGAGGTAAGGGCGGCGCCTGCTCTTACTGCTCTTCTTCTTCCTTCTCCTCCTGCTCCTCTTTCTCTTCCTCTTCCTCCTCCGGTCACGGCGCGGGGAGCGCGACGAGGCCGGAGCTGCTCAGAGAAATGTGGCGCCGCGCCCTGCCGCGGGTTGTCTCCAGCCGGGAAGCCGGCCTGTGGCCGAGCTCCTGAAAAGGTGGTGTCGGGCCCGTGAGGCTAATGGTCCGCAGCTCAAYGCCCGTGAGAAAGGCAGTGCCTCGCCGCTTTACTCAGAGCAGCCCTAGAGGCCTTTTCAGTTGCACTGTTTTGTACTAAAAAGCGGGAGTTGGTCGCTGGGCTGAAGCGGAAGTTGTGGTTCCGTGGCCGAAAAATATTTTCCCGTGGGAAAATAGCAAGAAAAACATAATTTGGGCATTAACAAGACTCAATAAATTCTAAACCCACATTGAAACAATTTACTATCTTAAGATTTATCGAGAAACCCCTTCTCTAGAAGTGTTTCCTACCCCCAATGGCTAAGTATTTTTGACAACGTAAGTAATCCATTTTTAGTTGTGCTACTTTGGAATGATGCTGGGCAACAGTTTGCTTCTGTGATTTATATAAAAATTTAAACCTAAAGCATGAGGTTTGATTCTCCAGTTTTAAATACTTGTCTCTTTACAGTCTGGTCTCACATTATGCTGCAAAGTCACATTCAGCTTTTTGTAATTTGTCAGATGCTGATAGAAGCATTTTTTTAAATAGTGCAGTATATGAGAAAGTTAAAGTTTCTTTAACTTCAGTAACTATAGAATTCTTGTTTATACCTAACTGAAAGTTCTTATAGCTTAATTTTAGAGATATGGGAAATTTTCCTTTGTTTGTATATGAAGTTCTTTTCTCATATTTTTGATTAACAAAACTGTTGAAGTGATTGTATGGTAACTTTTCTTAGCAATAAAATCTGATTTAAATTTTTAAGGTTCAGCATAGCATCTGGATCTGTCCACGTATAAATTGTTATTTTRTTTTAAATTTTAGTGGTGTAAAAACAAAAGATTGAAAGCAAGACTGACTTATTGGAAACTGAACTTCCATTGATCCTTTTGTTCCTTCCATACAAAGCCATATGGAGACTAGTTTATGATAGAGGGCTTTGCTGGCAGAAGAAAGGCATCMCTTTAGCAGCAGTTTTGATTATGATAAAATTAAGAGATATTTCGTGGAATGTCTGTGGATTATGCTATGATACTTCTGTCTTCTGATGCAAGTCTTTTTAACATCACTGTTAACATGCCAATGCATTCCTAGTTATTTTTGGATTCACTAAGGATTTATATCACCTGAAAGGTGTAAGAATATGGGGAGAAAAGGCTGTCCTAAGGACTTCATACATCCCCGTTTCATGCTGTTTCAGTATTCCTTGATTCTCTGGCCAGTACTCAATTTTCTGCACTGGAAGACAAGAAAGAAACAGCAGTATCTTCATATATTATGCTGATTAATACTTTAATTAATAGTTCCCTAATCTCACTTTGTTATGTAACTGAATTTTCTGTTGTCTCAAGAAATAAATGTGTTTTGATTTATGAGTATCATTCACAGAAGTGTATCTATTTTTAAAAGTAATTTCTYCTATGACAGTAATTGAAGGAAGACCAAGAGAAGGGCAGGCAACACTGAAGTGACTCCATAACCCCCCCAGTTTGGTTTCAGAGTCCCATTCAGAATATGGAAGGTGGCATTACTCACCTAGCATTTGATGTCTTTAACCTTTGACCTGTCTGAAAATGAAGAAACAATTTAAAAAAAAAATCAGAAGAAACCCCTTCAGGTTCYCCTTCCATCCACTTGGAAATACGGCCTTAGACCAAAGATAGCTGAAGGCAACAGAGCTAGAACTTAAAAAGCTAATTCTGCATACATTGAATACAATTAGATCTACTGCATAAAGAAGTAAGCCATATTTTGTTCATGGATTAAAAATGGCATAATGTTAAATTTGAAGGTTTTGATTGCCCTCTGAGCAATTTAGTTGAGATAGTAGCATGCAACAGTAATGCACRAGTCTGTCATCTCAGTGAATCTGTCATTACTTTTGCAGTCATCTTATGTGATGTTTTGTAGTWCATTCTAGTCTCACAGTTTTAATTGCAGATGGAGAAGCGTTTGTATTTTGGTATCCCTAGGTAAGCCATGCCTGTTTCAGCTGATGAAACTGTGGGGAACCTGGCTGTGAGAGATGCAGTCCTAACTCCATCTGGAATTGAAGGATTTCAAGGTTTGTACCAGATGCTATTTATTGCAATTACAGACTTTGATCAGTGACTTCCTTTGCTTCCTTCTAAAAATGTTTCACAAAATGAAATTCAAATACCATTCAAAATCTGGGTTAAATTTTGAAAGGTACTGTGGCCTATTCTATGTTCAAGTTGGTTGTTATAAGAGAGAAGTTGTTGTCAGATGGTAAAAACTGGAAAACTCATTGAGCTATAACATTCATCCTTCCAGAAAGAGAATGCTTTTTTGCTGAATTGAGGACATGGTCAGATCTATTCAATAAAACGGGAACCAAAAGTGCTATGCAATTCTTACATGTTACTCARCTGCTATTAGAATGGAACTACTGGGCCTGGTCTTGTATTTGAGTCAGTTTTCAACTCTGTGAGTTAATTCTTTCAAGTTTTAAAAGAATGTGTTCACTTTGAAACAGATTGAAAAATATCTCAATGGTAATGCTTATCCTATTTTTTAGTTAGTAAGTTTGACCATTCCTGGTTGCTTGCTAAATTGTTATCTTTGCATTAGCTGGTAAGTAGTCCATGTTGCATCATCTGAATGGGTTTTTTAGTCTGTAAGAGGAATGAAAAAGGAMGTGATTAACCTGACAGTAAATCTGAAGAAATTAATCAATAGACTGAAACGAGTGTAAAATATCAAATTACTTGAAAATTTTCATTAATTATTTTTCAGAATTTCAAAATGAGTTAGACTTTGAATTATGTGTTGTTGAATGTATTGAAGTAATTTTAAATTGCTTTGGTTTGGGTAGAATCATCATCTACACAGAATGTAAAAGCTCGACAAGTTATATCACGAATCAGTCGAGAAGAATTGGAAGACAGATTTCTTCGTGTACATGATGACCACATCCTACTCAAACAGTATGCAAATAAGCAAGAGGAGAAAATTAAAAGGTATGGAGTTTAATACTTTTATTTTAACTCACAGTGCCTTTTTGTCCCTTTTAAGTGTTATCAACAAATTAAAAATCCTGCTGATTTTTGTCAGAGCACTTTTAAATGCAGTAGCAAAAATCACCCACTGGAAGTGATTTTTGTATTGATTTCTCTGAGTATGTTGTCTCTGAGTTGTCTTTCTCAGTTGTCTCTGAGTATGTGAGATGGTTTTTGCAGTGAACCCTATTAGATTACTATATACAGAGGTGCATCACTGTCAGCTACATCAAAGTTGGTACCTTGGGCTCCCAGCTACGCTGGCAGAGTACAAATATAAAAGGTGTTCTGGGAATTGAACRGCAGGCTGTAGAAGCCTAAGGGTTTCATTCTAGAGTYGAAATGGTCTRTACAGAGAGATTCTGCCCCTTTTTYGTCCCTRTGTGTTCTTGAAGAAGTTGACYAGCACCTACTTTTTATTGGTGAGTTAGCACTAGAATATCTTTATAATCATTGCTTCTTTATTCAGTGTAATAGATAACTTCAGTGAAGAAGTCCCAAGTAACATGGGGAGCACAGCACCCAGTTTGCGCAAAAATATATAAACAACTTTAGGCTGRTTATTGAACTTAGTGTGCTAAGATCTGTGTGCTAATCTTTGCCAGCACTTACTGTGGTGGCAAACCAATCTGAACTCTGCAGAAATGTTTGTAGTATTACGATATTGCAGGAGGTCTGATTAATACCAGAACACTGACTATGTGTTCACATTGTGCTAATTGTTAACATAGTATTTCTACATCTAAGCCAGCTTCTGGTGAGGAGTTAATRAATTCATCAAAGGGTAGCTGAAAATATTGCCTATTTCATACTTTAAAGCCCAAAACATTATTTTTTTTGAGTGAGTATTCAGTGAGCCAGGTCCAGTTGACCAGCATTACATCATTTCCATCTTATCTGTCAGACTGTGGTCAAATACAAGCTGGTAGAACTAACGAATTGTTTCCTTATTCCAAATGGCAGTTCTTATGTTTCTGTGCACTGAAAATACCACTCATCATCCACTTACATCAGGTGGGTGTACTCATAGTCCAGTTGGGCAAAATGACGTACAGTGTCCAAATTAGCATACCTGAATAAATATTTTAAGGCACAGAAATTAAAAATACAGTGTTTGTTTAGATTTTCAATGAAAAATCTTAAGCTAAGTATCTTTCCTAGCATCTCTCATGTCTGAGCCCTTGTTACTAAAAGTTTGGAATTAATTTCCAGTAGAGTTGCATTGAAAAAACCAAATAAACAAAAAACAGGCTTACAGGCTTCTTCTGTGACATCCTAAAGTTATTATGGATTTTTTTTAATTTCACTTTCGTTCTTYTAAGTAGAAGCATCTGTCCAGAAGTATCCAAAAATAAAACAAGCCCCTTTAAACAAATTGCRCCCTTATTTTTAGTTTTCTCACTGGCCCTTCAAAAGTAGATTTCCTGTAAACCAGATACAGATCTTGAATATGTGTGGCCAATTTTGTGAAGTCTTGAACTTGTTTCTCATCAAAGCCACTTTCCTTTCTCCCCTTCTCCCTTTCTCCCTTTCTCCCCTCTCTCCTTTTTTTTCTCTTCCTGTCTCTCCTTTTCTTTCTCTTCCCCTCTCCTTCCTCTTCCCCTCTCCTCTCTCTCTCTCATTCCCTTTTTCTACTCCCCTCCCCTCTCCTTCTCCCTCTTCCAGGTATTTTCCATTACCACTAGATATATTTTTGTTCTTGTATATKACATCACTCCCATGTGCTCTCTCTGCCTTTTGTTGTAGCTTACCAATGTTTATCAAAACATTGGAAATGAGAAGTACWGCTAGAGATGCCAAAAGCAAAATTGTTACCTTTTTAAAGCTAGATGAGAGCTGTACGCTCTGTATCTAATTATACTCTTCAGCTTCAGTGCTGCGGCAGGAGAAGGATGMGAGCACTCAATATGAGTGATAAAGCAAGCTYCAGCTTTATTCGTGTCACACCCTGRTTATATATGCTCATAGTTAATTATGCCTACTTGCTACAATATTATTGGCTAAGCACAGAAAGYTACATTTTCATTTCACTMCCCTCTTYGATTCTTGTTTTCATAGATCTCTCTCATTGTTTTCACTGCAAGCTGCTTTCTCAGTAYTTTCTCAACAGCCCAAGGACACACAGCCCTTGACAMTTATCCTTATCAGCATTCCTTGCATTTCTTGGAGCCTAGGCAGCTATCATCTTAGACTTTGTTTTGCTCACACAAGGCCTGCAATAATCTATGGCCCTGCCATTCTTCAACAATTCCTCCTTTTGCTTTTTGTGYGAGCAAAACATTTTCACTTTTATTGCGAACCTGCTTCATAATGCACCCATATGCAATCCTAACGATTATAGTAAATGCTRTCATAAATCCTACTAACCGCAAGCCTTCCTTAAGCAATTCACAAAGCTAACCCCTAATTCCCCAGCCCTTAAAAACCTCATTAATCTCAATTATCTACTGTCTGATTCCAGTTGCTGTTGTTACATGTGGGTACCAATGATGAACATGGCCACTTGTCCACAGGCACGGCGACTAGGCATGTGGAAAATGGATTGCCTGGTGAAGTCAAAGCCAGACAAATCSCCTCYTGTCCAGTTAAATTGGCCATGGTGACCCATATGTTAACCTTTGGTTGAGGTGGAAGCCACAGTGCTGCTGTTGGGATSGGTATGACCRTCRCCATCACCAAGGCTGCCAGCCACCGCTTTAGTCCATTTGGCAGGGACCCACTGCGTACCTGTGGGCGTAAGCGCACACATGTAACTGTGCCCTACATATTTCACTTCTGCTGGGTCTTGCCATTGACCTGTTTGTGGGTCACGATACATAACCATCATAGGTGCCTTCTGGTCTGCAGCTGCAATTCGACCATGCACCTGTGCAGGAGGAAATTCCTGATCTGAAAAAATGCACAAATAATTTAGTACAAACAAAGTTTTAGACAATTTTTCATGAACATCGTGGACATCATCAAATTTGTCTGAATMTCGCTTCAAAGTCTGGTTTATTCTCTCAATGACAGCCTGTCCCGTTGCAGAATGGGGGATACCAGTTACAAGTTTAATTCCCCATTGCTGGCTAAAGYGACGCATCCTCTCACTTATATAGGTGGGCCCATTATCGATTTTTAATTGTTGGGGCACCCCCATAACGGCAAAACAGCTTGTTAAATGGCGTATTACGTGAGAGGCTTTTTCCCTGTTTGGGCTGTAGCCCACACAAATCTGCTATATGTATCAACTGTTTCATGTACATATTTCAATTGGTCATACTGAGGCACATGGGTAATATCCATCTGCCAGAGCTCACAAGGCCCCAAACCTCAGGGATTCACCCCAATACCCAAACCGGGGCCATGATGACTGCAGCTGGGGCATGCTTTAACCATGCTTCTTGCTTCATCAATCGGTATCTTAAACTGGCGAAAAAGTCCGTTCRCATTTTGATGGAAGGTGTTGTSAGCCTCTCTGGCCTTAACAAATTCGTTTAGTGGTACTGCAACAGAAACCAAAGAGTCCGCTCTTTCATTGCCTTCTCCTAGGCCTTCTCACCATTTATGACTCTTTATGTGAATAATAGCGTAAGCACATATCCGTTGTCGGATTGCTGCTTGAAACTGCCGCGATAGTTCGAATAACCGCTGATTGCGACAGTCCTTGAGCCTGGCATCTTCAATGCGCTGCACTATGCCCGTAACATATAAGGAATCGGACACCACATTTAGCTTGGTGGCATTCCACTGCAAAAAGGTCCATACCACAGCAGATATTCTAAAGTTTGCAGTGAATCCTCAGGTTCTGCATTTAGCAACTGGTGGTGCCACTTGCCCTCCTTGAACCAAGTAGCAGCTGCACGACAGGATTTCCTCCCAGCATCCGTAAACACAGTTATAGCGTTAGGCAAAGGCTGTTCACTTCTCTTCACTATGATGAGSCATTCCTGTTGACTGGCCCATCGGAGTGTGGTGCATTGCAGCTCATCGATCTTGATATCCATAGCCTGGTCCARCAGGCTGACTTGAAATGCTGGTGAGTGCAGCAGATACCAATCCAAGTCCTTACATTTAATGGCAAATATATGGTGGTAGGTTCCRTGCCAGATAGCTGCAGTACCCTGATGCGCCCTTTCTGTATAAGCTCAGCCAAATTTTCAATTTTTTGTTGTATGGTCATTTTAGGCCATTCCAATATCCTGACCTCTCCCTTTTTCTTTTTGCACTGCGTCAGTGCACCAAGGAGTTGATTCGGACCATTCAAAATAGTAAGGTCAATAGGTAAGTCAGGGTCACGGCGATCCACCCACTGTGACATTATGGCTGAGCTGATACATTGTATCACAYGCAACTGTTCCTCTGTCAGCAAGAGCTTAGGCAAGGGGTCGGTTCCTTTTAGTAAGGGTCGCAAGGCATCTAGGTCCTCATTCAAATGCTGATTACAGGTCATAACCATTGCAGATCACCAAGGAAGCGCTGCGCATCGTGTAAGGTAGTCAGTTGGACATTAATTTGCAGTTTCTGTAGCCGAATTTGACCGTCTGTGATTTGCCATCCGAAGTATTGCCAGGCTGGCACACGCTGAACCTTCTCAGGTGCGATGACCAGTCCTCGAGTATGAAGCTGTTGTACCATCTCAGCTTCCTGGTGTGCCATGAATGCATGCTGTTGCGCCAACAKAATGTCATCCATGTAATGGTAAATYATAGTGTCTTCCCAAGTCTCTCAAAGGGGTTGCAACGCGTGGTCGACGAACAACTGGCACAGTGTGGGACTATTTTTCATGCCTTGTGGCAACACAGTCCATTCAAATCACTGAGCTGGAGCCCCTCGTGTGGATGGCAAGGTGTGCAAACCGTTGGGTATCTGCAGGGTGTAATTTAACGGTAAAGAAGCAGTCCTTTAAGTCARTGATCAACAGGTGCCATCCTCTCGGGACCATTGCTGGATTTGGAAGTCCTGGCTGTAAGGCTCCCATAGCTTGCATTTGAGAGTGAACAGCGCGCAGATCATACAGTAAATGATATTTCCCAGATTTCTTTTTGATGACAAAAATCGGGGTATTCCAAGGGCTCATGGRTGGTTGCAAATGACCCTGTTGTAACTGTTCTGTGACCAGGGCTTGTGCCTGTTCCAGACTTTCCTATTTCAGCGGCCACTGCTCAACCCACACGGGTGCATCTGTTAGCGATGTCAGCTGGATCGGGAAAGTCCATTCTACRGTGACCGCTCCTAAAAAGCTTTGTCTGTTAACACAACTCCCAGCTGGTCAAGCAGATCTCGGCCAGTCAAGGCATTGACGCCCGTGGGAAGCAGCATAATTGTCATGTAGATGGATGCAGTGCRGCCGTCAACAGTCACCTGCGCTTGGCTGGTACTGCGCTGAATAGGGGCAGCACCTCCAACCCCTTCCACCCCATTTAAGGTTGGCTGACAAGTCCATTGAGGTGGCCATTTTTTGGAGCACATAATAGTTATGTCAGCACCTGTATCCAGTAAAGCACTCATCTGCACGTGCTCATTGCCAATACTCCATGTAGAATTTATCACGGGTCTGYGATTCATAGGACTGGTGAGCAACACGAGACCTCCAGTGGAACCAAAACCTGTTTCGCCCCTCTCAATCTCGCCGGTGGATCACATTTCTGCAGTTAACTGTGGCACTGGGACCAGTTGAGCCCAGTGAGAGATATGATACTACTGCCCCTTGAGGTATGAATGGGGGGGAAACAGAGTCTGTGCCACAATATGGATTTTTCCAGTATAATCTGCATCAATAACTCCGGGAAGAATAAAAAGTCCTTTAATTCCACTGGATGAGCGACCAAATAATAACGCTCCTTGAGGTTGACCATTAATAACGACAGGTCCTTTTATAGCCGTGGGAATCTTAGTCGGCTGCTGATCAATCAAGGTAATACCTATTGCGGATGCCAAGTCCAAGCAGAGACTCCCTCTGGTGGCGGGCCGCAGACCGAAGGTAGGTTGCAGGCACTGACTGGGGGGGATCTGGCAGGGGGCATTAACTGCGTGGGAGCCACTACTGTTGTCCGCGTGCGGTGGCCAGTCGTGCTCCGCTGTCCGTTTCCCGACCGTCTGCAGGCCTCAGTACTGATTGTTCTTGTTGCAACAAGTACACCACACTGCCTTATTGCACTGCKGTCGCATATGTCCTTCTTCACCTCATCGAAAACATCGGGGGGCCTGCCATTTCTCTTCTGCTGCGCTGGGGCCGAGGGATTGGATTGCAGAGGAGCCAAAGCTGCAAACGCTTGCGTCTGAGCCTGTACTATTTCTCTACCCATTTCTCTCACCGCCTCTACTGACGTCGCATGTAGTCCTACTGGCACCCTGCTCATTCAGTCTAACATTGCCTCAATACCTGTGTCCCCTGGGAGAGTAAAATAGCCTTAGTTGCTGCATTACAATTTTCCATCACATATGATGCAACAATGCACCTTTCGTCCATTCTGGCGCATCAGACAGATTGATGGCCGTTGTAACCCTGTCTACAAAGGAGGCAAAAGGCTTGTCTCTCCCCTGCTTGATGGATATGTAAGAAGGTGTTGGAGGTGAGGTGCGGACCATATTGATTGCCTGGCGAGCTAGGCTCATTGCCTCCAAACAGATGTCAGGGCCTATCTGCAGCTGCCCCGTTCCCATTAATTGCTCTACAGTTAACGTCCGCTAGACGATCGTTCTGATCCTAGGTGTATGAGCGGAAATCTCGCACAGTCTGTTCCGGTGAGCTTACCATAACAACTGCTGCAACTGCGTCATAATCATCCRCATGATTCCCTTAATATCCTCTGGGCATAACACCCCACTGCCCCAGGTGTAGTTTATCATTTGTCTAGTAGGTTCACTATGCAATCCAGATTCGTTAACCGTACTCCTTAGCTGCGTTAGCAACTTCCAATCTATCAGTTGATGTTCCCTCTGCATATTTCCTGCCCCATCTACTGTATATGTGACAGGAAAGGCTTGTAACTCAYGTATATCCTTCWGCAGATCATACTGCCAATTTTCCAATGCCTGCCTGGTCACCTCCCCCATTCAATAACACGACTTTGCACAGTATTCCCCTTTTTATCACTCTGGGTGCACTCTCTCCATGTCCGTTTGCTGTCCTGACTGACTCCCTCTGGGGCCTCTGCCTCCCTCTTAGAATTCACAATCTCTTCCTTCTCCTGCATAGGAGGGGCAGCTGGTTCGACATTCCCTCCTCCCTAGGGATTATCAGTCTTTCTACGAACAACGGTTATGGAACCCCAGTGGGGGGARCAGAGGTATAATCCACTCCTATAGTTAGCATTCCAGGGGCAGGGTCGCTAGTTCCCAATTTCTCTGTGGCTACCGCAGCCATGCGTTTCTCGGACTTATACGGTTGTAAACAATTTATAACATCCCTCCATGGTTTCATAAGTTTTTTAGCGGCTTTATCCTCATCTATAGCCACATCCCACAAACAGTCTCCAAGCTTATGCCACTCCTGTTCCTCAAATAGGGTATTCGGGTCCTGAAAACAACCCTTTARTCTCCCCAGCGTCACTAAACCTGTCAATTGCTTAACGCAATCAGCTCCTATCCCCCCCCTTTTCTAAAAAGCATTGCAACGAATCAAGGGCTACCTCTYGATCCATTTCAGCCGGCATCATCAATGGGATCTGTCTCCCAAGTGCAGCCTTATCAGGGTTAGCCCCAGCAGATGGTGGACCCCTCTCGGATGGCCCAAGCGTTCGGACCYCAGCTTTTCAAAGTCTGGCGATCTGCGCTTCCCGGTGCTGCTACTGAGGCTTCTCCTCTCGCACCACACTCCTRGCTCTAAGTGTCCCGTGGCATTGGGAGTCACCATTTGCCGTGGCAGGGGAAGGATGCGAGCACTCARTATGAGTGATAAAGCAAGCTTCAGCTTTATTCGTGTCACATGCTGGTTATATATGCTCATAGTTAATTATGCCTACTTGCTACAATATTATTGGCTAAGCACAGAAAGYTACATTTTCATTTCACTMCCCTCTTYGATTCTTGTTTTCATAGATCTCTCTCATTGTTTTCACTGCAAGCTGCTTTCTCAGTAYTTTCTCAACAGCCCAAGGACACACAGCCCTTGACAATTATCCTTATCAGCATTCCTTGCATTTCTTGGAGCCTAGGCAGCTATCATCTTAGACTTTGTTTTGCTCACACAAGGCCTGCAATAATCTATGGCCCTGCCATTCTTCAACACTTCAGTTCCTTTTCTGAAGCACATTGGTCATACTTACCCAGAATAAAACTGAGTATGGTAATAGAAACTATTGAGTCCCTTTTTTGGGAGTACTTCTTAAATATCTCCATTGATATATTTTAGACACATTGAAAATGAAAATATATTTAAATCCTAAAATTATCATTCTTTCAATAGTTTAATGTTTTGTCAAATTGTAGCTTTTACAATGTGCCCCATCCTAAACATCCCAAATCTGTAACTTAACAGCATGCAGAGGTTCCAGTATAAGGTTCTGTGTTAATAGTCAAGCAGTCTGGGGAACGTGTCCTTCCTTTACTAACCATAAATTATAAGCCTTAGGAAACTGTTATTTGTCAGGGTTATATAGCAGTTTGCTGCACAGTTGTTTCAATTATCTTCAAGGAGTTCTTCACAGGCAGCARTAGTTGCATCAAAACTTGGAATTTATTATCATGAAGTCTTCACAGTGGTTATGTTCCTTTCAACAGAATGCTTTTTATGCTGACTTTTCACATTCTTTTTAATATTTTTTTATTGTTTTTATCTGTTTTCCCCAGAATGACCACCAAGTTAACACGCCTCATTAATGATAAAAGAAAATGTGACCAGGTTGGCAGTGGATCTAAGCGGCTGGGTCAGGCTCTGGAGCTGGAAGAAATGATTGAACATTTGCGAGAAAGAGTTCGTGAGCTTGAGAAACAAAATGAGACCCTCCGCAACAAACTCATTTCAACTAAACAGCAGCTCCAGATTCAAGGCCATAGACCTTGTCTATACAGCTCTGTTCAGTCTCGTGTGAACACAGGTCTCAAAAAAGAGAGTGAGGCAGCCGGCATACCAGAGCACACCAAGAAGGGTATAACTCACATTTATTAAAAACAGTGAACTCTTTGATTGTTCTTGAAACYATGAGTCTGAATTCTGAAAGATTTTTAGTGCAGATCAGAAAATATGCAGAACAATTATCCAAAAATGAAATGTCCGGAAAAAAATCAGGATAGTTGAGCTGTCTCTAAGGTATTAAGCAACAACAAAATAATAAATATAGTTTCCTGTATCTGCTTTGTGTTTGTCTGATTTAAAAATACCATGGAAAGCTCATTCAAATGTCTTAATCAGGTATGAAAGTTCACTAAATACTTGCTTCCTTTATTGAGTGCAACCTTCTAAGAAATACCTTGATTTGAGTAAAAGTAAACAAAAAATACATATTCTAGGTGTGTATATATATATATATATATACACACATCCGTGTGTATATATGTATATATATGTACATATGCATATAGAACACACACATATATCACAATTACCAGTACCTTAAAATAATACTTAAAGATCAAAATTCAAAATAGCTCAAGTTAATGGAGCAAAATAGCTTAGTTGTTTTCAGGCATTTTGGGAAAGTGCTGGTATCATTGTACCTTGAACCTAAAAGATTCAGTTTTTGGGATTGAGGGATGGCTTTAATGCTGTCTTTGAAATGAAATGTGTTTGGTCCAATCTCAAAATTTGGCTATTTTTTTCTTGCTGAGACTAGAAGAAAAGCATGGAGAAACAATTGCTTTTGCTTCTAAAGTAACGATTCTKCCTTAATTTCTCACTTCTCTTCTTCACAATGGGTTTAGGATGCTTCTAAACAACACAAGAAAATTATCTGCACTGCTACTAAAAAATGGTCCTAATAGTTGCATGTTTGGGTGAATGATAGGTAGAGTATTGCAAAGAATATGCTGAAAAAAAGTGATTACAAGTCCATATTCCTGTCTAATACTGGTAGTTTTCTTTGAAGACACAATCTCTGTTTTCTGTCTTTGAAAGTAAAATCTTCTAAAAAAACTTCCAGGACCTGTTTTTAACATTTTGCTTTAACGCTATTCTGCATCGTCCATCCTTCAGATTTTATAGCAGCTATGTTGTACATACTCTGATTGTTTATTTCTTTGTGATTTTGGTGTAAAAATACTWTTTATTGCATCTATGCAGAAGTTGCAATTGTTTGTACTATGTAGATTGTTGGCTTGTTAAAAGCTTTTTCATTCAGCATGACAAAARATTACCTTTTTTTGTTTTCAGGAATGAGATTTCAGAGTTTAGAAGTGAGCTCACCTGATCTTGTGCTTCCCAAAAACATACAGAGTTTGCTTGAGGATTCAAGAGCTGAAATAAGAAATCTGTATGATTTTCATATTACTTACTTTTTTGTCATTGTTATTCCTAAAACTTACGGTTTCCTTGAAGAAAGCAAGTATATATTTTCGGAAGTTTTTTTTTCTGAAAAGTGGTTGGATCTGACAACAATAACACTGGTAACAATGCAGAAATGTTTTGTGATAAGGAAAATGGGATCAGAGATTTAGAATGCAAAATGTCAGTACATAAGAATGTGGCAGGAAGTTAAAATTGGTCTGCAGTAGTGAGCCTCTCTTTGCTAGGATGCACTGCTGCCTAGTTTATTAGAGGTCAAAGCTGACAAAAGCAGAAAGGTCCTTAGCTGCAAAATTTTTACCAGTGTAAGTCCTAAAATGTGCACCATCACGCAWGTGGTGACTATGTGAATGTGTTTTGTTGATGCATTTAGGTTCACTTCTAAAGGCAGATAGATTTTACGGATAAGTGCAAAAAGCATGGTATTGGGATAGTTCTGTAAAATGATTTTGATTCTCTCTTGTATTTTGAAGTTTGGGTTGTAATTGAACTGCACATTTTAACTGAAATTGAAACGCATAAAACATCCTTGATGTAGAGATTGCATGAGAATAAAGAGGTGTTATATAGGCTGGAGAAAAGGTAGTTACCATCTAAATTAAAGATATTGAAGTCTGATTAGGACATTTTTCTTCTCTAAATTGTATGTTTAGAACCTGGGTTTTCTAAAAGCTGTTTATTTCCATAGTGATTTACTTAAATTAGTTTATCGTTTACGTTCTCTGTAAATGCTAAATTTAAATGGGCAAGCTAAGTTTAGAAATAATGGATTAATGTGCAGTCATTTATTTTGAGCCCAAAGTTTTGTWAACACAAAGACTAACTGGATTCATAGGAAACAATTGTAAAGAAATACTTTTATCAATTGCATTTACTGGATAAATTCCACTGCTTAGGAGACATCTTTTGTTGGGGTTTTTTTCATTTGTTTGTGGTTTTTTGGTGTAGATTTTCCTATTTCAGAATAAAAGCTTACAAATTACTTTCAATGCTCCATCCATTGAAGATCTCCTAATTTGGTGATAGCTAGTAAAGGTGGTTTGCTTTTGAGAAACATTGGTGCTGATGGATTAGAGAGAAGATACTTCTAGTACAGAGGAAAAGAAACTCTGARCAGTGTTTTCAGTGAGGTTCTGCTAAACATTATTCCGTCCACAGAAACATTTCTCTTGAGAATTTGTGTTGTGTTTTCATAGCAATTTAAACTCAYAAGCCTCTTGTGATGTATGTTAATTAGAAATACAGATTTTGCAGAACAATTAAAGTATTGTTTACTTGAGTATTCTTTGTTTTTCTTAGAAAAATTACGTAGCTGGTTTTGAAATGGAGGATGCTTGTACTTGCAGGGAGACTGTCATTGAGTCCCAAAGAAAACATATTGAGGAACTAGAACATGCCAGAGAGATTCTTGTGAGTCAGCTAAGAAGGAAAGAAAAGGAAATTGAAGAATCTCTCTTACGGCTGAAAGAGCGGGGTACAGCAAGCCAAAGGTATTGTGAGAACTTAAAATCACTGTAGTAGAAGCATTAGAAGAGCTATGTCATAATATTTATTTATAGCTGTGGAAGTTACTGCTTCTGTAAAAGAATCTGTGCCTTATTCATTTTTGTTCCTTTGGTGAAACCAAGTCATAAAATGTTTTGCCAAATAGCATGGATCATTCTAAGCAAGGAGATAGTTACAAAAATAAGTTATGATGTTTTTTCACAAGTAAACCAGTTCATAATTATAATTTTAGAGAATTCTTTTCCAGCTGATACAGATTCAATTGAAATTCAGGTAATAAAATTTTAATCATCTATTGTTCCTTCACTTTAATTCTTATAAAATTTTAGATACAGGTTCACAGTGGACAGTTTAATGTTCACTAACACTCAATAATTTGGAATATACAAATAGTAGAAAAATACTGGCTCTTTCTGTTGTTGCAGAAAATGTCAAGATAAACCCTCCAGCACTGTTTTTAGTATTAGAGAGCAGCATTACTTTATTCACAGTCCTGGGTGCATAAGGAGASGTCCTCCCATGATGCATGCACACTTTCAAAACTTTTCACTATTTATACATTTTAGCAAAGAAATTAATGTTCATTGGCTCTAAATTACATMATTCTCTTCATTGATTGGTATTCTGTCTTCTATTGATTATTGATTTCTTACTCTCATGCTRATTAATCCACATTTTCAGTCTTTTTATTACCTTATTTCCAGATATGGAGAGTTTTCATTACAAATGCTGAGTTTCTTCTTTATCTTCTGTTTTCTTCAACATATCCTTGAAGGCTGCAAATTCTTCATTCTTGGTGTCCAATTTCAGCAATACCTCTCCTCCAGACTTTGTTCATTGAAGCATATCAGGGAGTAGTTARGCAAAACTTAAAAGTTTTAGTGATTTTCTCAAGCTGTTCTAACAGTAACAGTCTGGACARAAAAAAACTTTGCTATGTTCTAAGTAGAGTAAAATATTAAACTGTTTACGAATGATACACTGCTTATGAGTAATTAAAACAAATTATTAAAAAGGTAATGAAAACCACTAATAAGAAAAATTATTTAGGAAAATTACATCTTCTCCAATTCTGTAATGGCAGATYAGCAAAGTTTTGAAGGAATATGATATAGCTGTGTGGTAAAACAGACAAACATGCATATGAAATGTATTTCACAATAAAGCTTCCATTAGATTAACCTCTTTTCTTTCTCTTTCTTCTCCTTGCACTTTTGTCAAAATACATATAAAATTATATACATTTCRCATATATCTTCCTTCTTTAACTGTTTCAGTTTCAGACTGTTGCCTTTAACTGTGTTAAGAATCTAGTATGACGCAATCCTGCATTCCTTACTCATTTGATCTCAGTGACAGTTCTACRTGGCTGAGAAATATGTGGTCGGTTCTTTTAACTGCCTTTCAAGGGAGGGAGCCCATTATTATGTGTGAGCATTCTTTTGTGCATCAGTGGTGCTACATAAACTACATGATGGTAGCTATTAAATTTTTCATCATGTCATAAATTACCTAATGGTAGCTATTAAATTATTCACAAAGTCATCTCTCCCCTTTTCAGAATTTGCTTCATATAATTTAAATAAGTCAAAGAAGTCATTTTCATAAATAATTCCTCTCACTGTGCCTTCACTGTGAATTCAGAAAAGACTGAATTTTTTTAAAATTTTTTGAAAATAGTCTRCTACAATGAACTTTTATGCTTCAGATAAATGCAGCAGGAAGAACCTGAACATAACATCTAAATTCTATGTCAGCAACCACATATKTGTGAGACATTTAAGTTGTTTTAAAGTTCATGTTCTATGTAATTATAATTTTTTATCTTCTTTGCATCAGCAGAGAAGAAACTGTCAACACTGGAATACTGGAGGAGAAAAAAAGGAAATTTGGATGACCAGTAAGGTCATCTTAGTTAATCTTGGTAGCTTATGTCCTAGAATTTTGGTACAACTGATAGCTTTTTCTTGCATTTTATATGGCTTGTCAGTTACCTAGTTGCATAACTATCCAAAGGCAGTTAATCTGAAATTCTTGTATGGTGCCAAAAGGACATAATAAATGTTCTTCTACCAATCTTCATGTAGCACCATTTGATCTTGGCCTGCTGTTAACAGAATCAGGTTACTTTCCACCCTTAGGAAAACATTCCTTATTCTACTACTTGATCAAGAAATTCTTGAGACTGAAATAATTGTAGTTTCCAAGTAGTAAAGCAGCCACAGTTAAGAATCATTGATCCATTAGTGGTAAGGAAGGGAAATACTAATCTCAAGTCCTCTAACCACAAGAAATTCAGTAATATTTTAAAGTTGCCTTTGCASCTTCACTGCAGTTTCTCTGTAACAACACAAGAGCTACATGACAGAGCTGAATTCATATGTGGTGTACTCAATGAGATTATTATTGTAATGTGGCTGAAATCAATGTTTCATTCAGTATTTAATTAGAGATTGCTTGGGGATTGTTTCAGAAGTATGTAATTGTGCCTTAAAGGAGAAACTTGGCCTATGGGCTACTAGACTAAACACATTTTCTTTGAGTACGAAATTTTAACAGCATTTACCTTGACCATTTATAATTTAAAGGTGGCCAAAACCATAATAACTTTGTGATTCGCAGTTATAATTTGTACATCTGTGATGCACAGTGTACAAGGGAAAACATTAATTCTCARTCGTAATACATTTTGCATATAGCTGGCTTCAGATAACTTGATAGCCTGTGGAATTTTCCAAGGACATTTTTAAAGCCATCCCATTATGCATTTGTGAAACAGGTATTTGGTATTTGCACATGTCTGTGCATTTTCTTTATGTGTGTTTTGGTTGGTTGGTTTTTGTCAGTTTTTAATTACTTTTGATTTTTTTGCTGCAATATGACTGGATTTAAAGCTATTAGATATGTGGATTTTTGGACAGGACTGTCATAGCTAATGCACTCGTGACTTCTGTGTTTGCATTATAGCACTTCAAAACTAGATTAAAATGTGGAGCACATTAATCATTATGCATTATTGAAAGGACTTTGAGACAATACAGCATGTATAAAATTTGCTGAATTCTATCAATAAAAAACCCAAACTG